CGGGACATCTTGCTTATCATCGAGAAGTTTTCCGGAGGGTTGTTATGGGAACAAGGTTCTGCAAAGGACATGCTACTGACTGACTGATATTGCCAACTTGTCTCACTGAAATTCGATTGATGTGAACTTACGAAACTAGCACAAAATACACAAGATGCCCCACGTTGTTAAGTTAGGTTCTTCAGTTTACTGACATTGACTGGTACTTACCCACAACGGACCGCCGCAGAATGCATCCCAGGCACTGGTGTTCATTGTTACCTCCCTTGTCACTGTCGCTGCAAATAAGAGGGATTCAATATTACATGGTTTACTTTGTACACAGAAGTATCAATTATTCTGATGCGTTGAAGCTTTTCAAACAGTTGAAGAAACAATTCACAGGATAGATTGCAAACATTAAAGACAAAAAAGAGGATAAACATTATTTCATCTGGTTTAAAAAGATTTTAAAAAGCGATGGCAAATTGACTGCGTGGCATATTTGGCTATAGCTTTCTCAGTGTCTAATCTCCGAAGGCTGAGATGGCTTGGTCACATCTGGAGAATGGAGGTAGTACAGTCCCTAAAAAAATCATATATGGTGAATAACAGATGGATAGAAGATGTCAAGGCCGACCTCTACTACGATAGAAAGATGCGTGTGGGCAGGACATGAAGGATGCAGGTACTAAGGTGGATTCGTTGAAAGCATCATAGATCGTGTTGTGTGGAGGCGGCGAGGAAATAAATGATAACGAAGGAAGAAAATGACTGCAGAAAGGGTAAGAAACTAAGGCCCATTTTATTCACTTTCTACCATCACCGTATCTATCAATTCCTATAGTTCTTTCTGACTTGTCGCTATCAAGGCAGTGCCATCGGCATAATACAGGTTGTTTATGTTATGCCCACCAACCACATTTCCTATTCATGATAGATCTCATTATATATTCACTGTATAATGAAAACAAATCAGGTGATAGTATACATCCTTGTCGTACTCCCCTTTTAATGCTCTAAAATATTCCAAAATAGTTGTTAATTCTATAGCTGCTGTTTGCTGCCAATACATGTTTTTTTATAATTCGTAAATCTTTTCCATCGATGTTTAACTTTTCCAAGAGTTTGGTTATTTCTTTATGTTTGACACAATCAAATGCTTTCGTAGAGTCAATGAAGCATAAGTGAAGATAGTTTTTTTTTTAACTACTATAGCTCTTTGCGAAAGAGTCATGGGAATGTGTTTGTGTGTGTGTGTGTGCATATGTATATATATATATATATATATATATATATATATATATATATATATATATATATATATATATATATACGCTTGTAGCAGTAGCAGCAGCAGCAGTAGAAGTAGCAGCAGCAGTAGCAGTAGGCAATAGTAGTAGTAGCAGCAGCAGAAGCAGTAGTAGTAGTAGTAGTAGTAGCAGCAGCAGAAGCAGCAGCAGTAGTAGTAGTAGCAACAGCAGAACTCCGTAGACAGAATGTCATAGACAGATTTTTAAAATAAAACATAACGTGGAGAAATGAAAACAAGAAGAGAATCCGAAGAGAAGCCGATTACCTTCACCAGAAGGAGACACATTCTATGGACAAATCCTGGGAAGATGAACAAATAAAGTAGGTCGTAGCAATAAGAATCGTAATGAACAGAGGCAACGGGAGACCAGAAGGTAAAGATATTAGATAGTTTGTTGTCAGTTGAACTGAGTTTCAAGAACCGACACAACAGCACTTAGGATATTCTCATAAACACTCCTGTCCGATCTTCAGCAGCCAGCGAAAAGTTCCAACTCCAATGGTACTAACAGTGTGACTGTATGTCCGTCTTGCCTTTGTTCTCTCTAAGTGCTGAGTATCAGCCAGATCCCCGAGTCACTCCCCGTTACACCATTCTCTTCAGACCGTGATATCTAATTGTGCTTCGGCACTGCTCACTCGCTCCCAAAGGGCCTTGACAACATCTAGCTTGTCATGTTATTAGTGCAGAGCTAGTGTGTCTGCCTGTTCGTTTCCCAACACACATACATACTTTGAAGAAAGTGCAGGGGTATTTGCCACTCTAGTATAGACGAACATATTTTTCAGAAGTGGTTGACATTACACAATACAGAAGGACATCACAAAACGTGTATGTCAATGCTTGTGTGGACTATAAGGAGAAGAAGAATTGTCGATGTAAACATAATTATGTAGCGCTCATAATACTACTAAACATTAACTAAACATTCACTAAACATTAACTAATACAGCACTTACACATGTTCAAATAATCACAACATAGATGAACGGTTTACCTACTGTAAAAAAATATCAATTTATGTCCCGTGCGCCCACATGCAGGAACTGTCTTCAAAATAGATCAACTGACTTCCTAAAAGACTTTACCGCCTAACTCTTGAAATAAACCAGTGGACAGTGTCATGGCATGAAACAGCATGTATAACATTCCATGACCGAACACAAGACCTGTCTCAAGTTCTCAGGCGTTACACATACATATGGTGTATGTTGCCTTCGTCATGCATTATCTCACATAATTGTATTCCAATGTAGACTTGTTTGTGAACTATGCGGAATGACAATACCCAGTTTTATCAATTTAGCGTCGACAGATTGGCTGGCTCTGCATAACTTAGTGGAATACTGATGCATGATAAGGCAGACGTAGTAAGGGCCTTGTGGGAGAACGTGTACAGTTACGAGCAGCAAATGGATCACCAGTCAGGTGAGACTGATGCAGCGGGCAGTAACCAGTAGATCTGGTCGATACTTGACGCTCAGAGGAAAAACAAGACAGATGTATAATCAGAATGCTACTGGCACCACTGTTACTGGAACTCTGCGCTGGTTGCTGAAGATGGGGACGAAGCGCTCATTGGAATACCCCGAGAGCTGTGATGTCGGTTCTTGAATCAACTCAACACAACCCATTTAGCGACGGAGCGTTATTCCAGCCTACAGCGCAGAAGTTGTATGCGATGAATGATGATGACGATGATGAGGACGAAAAAGGGGGTGGGTGTGGATAAGGAGGATAACGCAGATTTGTATTGGGTATATATTACCAAATCGAATTTAAATTTTGCATGCTCTCATGTTTTCTCTTCTCTTTTTGTGTGTGATACATGTGTACTTCCTAAGCAGAAGGGACACCACCTACCCCGCCTCCAGCAATCTCTCTCTCTCTCTCTCTCTCTCTCTCTCTCTCTCTCTCTCTCTCTCTCTCTCTCACGCACATACACACACACCAAACGATCTCTTTTGTATCTACATCATCATTCACATCATCATCATTAATTGTATCAAACGTGCACAGACCTACCAGCAATGCTTAGGTGTAGTGATCTGTATCACTACTGCCACACTGAACACCCTGAACATATCCTGGCGCGTACTTCGGGCAGGTCGATCAAGTAGTTCCAAAAACCATTCCCGCGTACATATCTTATTATACAAGGGATTTATCAGGCTTCGGTGACCGACCGACCCGTATTCCGTTTGGGTTCCAGGGCTTGTGGACTGGAGAGAGGGGAAAAAAGGGAGAGGGCTGGGGTGGGTAATGGACTCCCTTACCCTATTTCTAGCATGCAATCAAAGTTAATGATTTGCTAAAATATTTTGTGTCGAAAAGTCCTTTTCATCACAGTCTAGCTGTAAACTACATTACGATGTCCAACCACCCTGTTTAGGATGGATGCAGAGGTAGTAGACCCACAGAAGTAGGCCGCAGCTCATCCAACTCCCGCAGACAGACAACTCTATACATGCATCTATTTCTCCTTGTTAACTAGTGTTCCTTGTCTTTCCCCTCCGGGTTGACGTTTCATTTTCTAGCGGTTCTCAACCTGTGGGTCGCCAACCCTGAGAGGTGGGGGTCGAACTTGCCTTTCACAGGGGTCGCCTAAGACTACCAGACAACCCATATTCACTAAAGTTATGAAGTAGCAACCAAAATAATTGTATGGCTGGGGGTCACCACAACATGAGGAATTGTATGGCTGGGGGTAACCACAACATGAGGAACTGTATGGCTGGGGGTCACCACAACATGAGGAATTGTATGGCTGGGGGTCACTACAACATGAGGAACTGTATGGCTGGGGGTCAAGAGTATAGAGAGAAGCAGTAGAGTATAGAGAGAAGCAGTAGAGTATAGAGAGAAATAGCAGTAGAGTATAGAGAGAAGCAGTAGAGTATAGAGAGGGAAGAGGCAGTAGAGTATAGAGAGAAGAGAGAAGCAGAAGAAGCAATAGAGAGGAGCAGTAGAGTAGTATATAGAGAGAAGCAGTAGAGTATAGAGAGAAGCAGTAGAGTATAGAGAGAAGCAGTAGAGTATAGAGAGAAGCAGTAGAGTATAGAGAGAAGCAGTAGAGTATAGAGAGAAGCAGTAGAGTATAGAGAGAAGCAGTAGAGTATAGAGAAGCAGAGAGTAGTAGCAGTAGAGAGAGAAGCAGTAGAGTAGTAGAGTATAGAGAGAAGCAGTAGAGTATAGAGAGAAGCAGTAGAGTATAGAGAGAAGCAGTAGAGTATAGAGAGAAGCAGTAGAGAGAAGCATAGAGAGAAGAAGCAGTAGAGTAGAGAGAAGCAGTAGAGTAGAGAGAAGCAGTAGAATATAGAGAGAAGCAGTAGAGTATAGAGAGAAGCAGTAGAGTATAGAGAGAAGCAGTAGAGTATAGAGAGAAGCAGTAGAGTATAGAGAGAAGCAGTAGAGTATAGAGAGAAGCAGTAGAGTATAGAGAGAAGCAGTAGAGTATAGAGAGAAGCAGTAGAGTATAGAGAGAAGCAGTAGAGTAGAGAGCAGAGAGAAGCAGTAGAGTATAGAGAGGAGCAGTAGAGTATAGAGAGGAGCAGTAGAGTATAGAGAGAAGCAGTAGAGTATAGAGAGAAGCAGTAGAGTATAGAGAGGAGCAGTAGAGTATAGAGAGAAGCAGTAGAGTACAGAGGAGCAGTAGAGTATAGAGAGAAGCAGTAGAGTATAGAGAGAAGCAGTAGAGTATAGAGAGAAGCAGTAGAGTATAGAGAGAAGCAGTAGAGTATAGAGAGAAGCAGTAGAGTATAGAGAGAAGCAGTAGAGATATAGAGAGAAGCAGTAGAGTATATAGAGAGCAGTAGAGCAGTAGATAGAGAAGCAGCAGTAGAGTATAGAGAGAAGCAGTAGAGTATAGAGAGAAGCAGTAGAATATAGAGAGAAGCAGTAGAATATAGAGAGAAGCAGTAGAATATAGAGAGAAGCAGTAGAATATAGAGAGAAGCAGTAG